GGCAGTTAAAAAGGGCATCACTGTAGTCCAGATGAGAGAAAAGCATGAATGATTTTCTCCAGGTGATCTCTGGAGAGCATTTGTCTAATTTTAGAAATGTTTCTCAAATAAAAGAAACAAGAACGGGAAACAGCCTTAATGTGAGTCGAAACCTAATGATGAATTAAGTGTGACCTAGATTTTTTACCTGTGATTTTACTAACAGGCAGGAGGCAGTTGTCTGGCTTATATTTTGGCACAAGTGACTGGGAACAATAATCATAGTTTCTGTCTTACTGGTGCTTAAAACCAGAGTGTTACTGGAGAGCCAGTCACTGATACGGGACAAACATTGGACGACGATGGCCAACCTGTCAAGTTGATGAGGTCTAAATGAAAAACACAATTGAATGTCATCTGCATAAATGTGATGAGATATCTGAAAAGGACTGAATAATGCCAGCAATAATATAAAAAGAAAACAAAAGTGGACCCAAACTGAGCCTTGTTGCACCCCACACGTTAAGGGGACGGAGTCACCTGTCCAAAGTTGAATCAGAAATATCAGCCAGGATCTTTAGTCTGTTTAACAGGATTGCATGGTCAACAGTGTCATCCATCCATTTTCTTACACCCTTGTGCCTTAGTGGGATCAGGAGAGTTGCTGGTGCCTCTCCAGCTAACGTTCCAGGTGAGGTCACCTGACCCTGGACAGGTCATCAGTCTGTCGCAGGGCGACACAGAGACATACAGGACACACAACCATACACCCACACTTTATCCCAGGAAGAATTTAGAGAGGCCAGTTAACCTGACAGTTTTGGTTTTGGACTGTGGGAAGAAGCTGGAGTACCAGAGAGAACCCACCATGCACAGGGAGAACATGCAAGCTCCATGCAGAAAGACCCCAGCACGGGAATTGAACCCAGGACCTTCTTGCTGCAAGGCAACAGCTCTACCAACTGCGCCACTGTGCAGGTCAAAGGTAGCACTAAGATCTAATAAAACCTAAAACTGAGCATTTTCCCTCAATGACATTAACAGATCATTGTGGATCTATTTGCTGAAAAACCAAAGTTATTTTAAAATCAAGGCTAAAACCCCATTTTAGAGTTTCTTTTTACTGTTCTATTTATATTAACTGAAGTATTATTAATTGTAGTCTCTAATGAAATTATTAATTTTCTTAATTATTCCTTTTTTATGTTTTAATATACATTTATTGTTACAATTCTGACCTTTTCCCTCTGTCTCTGAATGCTGCCTGTCTTAGCCAGGATATTTTGTTCTCATGGGACAAACCTGGTTAAATAAAGGTTATTAAATTATTATTACTATTATTAATTATGATATCAAACTCTGGATGGACATCAACTTTCTAAAACTCAACAGTAACAAAACAAAACTACTTTTTACTGGTCCCAATTAACTCCTATCCTCAGCCCAGACCATTTCCCTCCTCATCTATGGCCACACAGCCACCGTCTCCTCCATAGTGCAAAACTTTGGCACCATTCCCATCTCCTCCCTGTCTTTCCAAAACCACATCAATGCCATCACCAGGGCATCATTCTTCCATATACACAACATTACCCGTGTCTGTCCTTCTATATCTCTGATTCCACAGCTCAAATAATGATCTACCCCCCATCAGAACCAAGCATGTACCATGGGGGATGGAGCCTTTTCTTCGAGAGTAACTTTGACTCCCTACCTTCAGATTATTACTCAAAACCCACCTGTGTAAACTGCTCTATCCACCACAGTCTCCTTCTCAATTTTCAGCTGTTTTTTTCTTTTTTGTAAAGCATCTTTGAAGATCCTAAAAGGTGTTATGTCACTGCAATATACACATTTTTATGATTTCATCATTTAAGGCCTGGAGTTGAAGACCTTAAATCAGAAGAGGTCTAATTTTAACATTATGAAATGTGTCTTCTCTGTGGAGTTGGAAAGAATATTTAAACAAACTTCAAATAGGCTTTCATGAGTTAACAAGTACAAAAATGTCTTTAAAATCTCTGGAAATAAAGAATAATAGTTTAATTTTATAATACAAAAAAGTAATTATTTCTAACAATAATCGCTCAGTTCCTAAGTCCTATTGAACAAATGACACAAAAAACATTTAAGTATAACAATACAAATATTTATGTACATATTTTTCGAAAACACCTTTCACCCACACATTCCCAGTGATTTTACCTGATTTTTCCACCAGTTCGCTGACGTCCTTCTTCTCAGCCAGGCCGGTGTATCCCAGTCCTCTGCACTCTAGGATGGTTTTCAACTTATTGTAACTCAGAGTAACTGGGTCTACAAGCTGCGTGGCGAACATGCCAGTCTCATACCAGACCACAGTCTCAAAAAGTCTAGCAAGCAAAAACAACATCATGAAATACAGGAGTAAAAAGAAAAGTTTTAACCACATTTTGTAGGTGGAGGAAATCGGAGAGATCTAACATTCAGAGATTTAATTTGATCAGGCTTCAAACACACATCCTCCAATTAGATGAAAAGCTCTGTAGAAAATTTGAATTTGTCCGAGTTCTTGACCCTGTTTGCTTTCTCAGGTGTCGCTAAAATGGTCTTGTGTTGGCAGCCCAGAAATTCAAACGGTACTTAAAACTCAGTTAGCAAACAAATGGCCTCAAACGCATTAAGCAAAACAAAAAGGCCTCCGACGTCGGGCACAAGTGAACCAAATCCCCCGAAAGCCGCGAGAGATCCAGTCAATCACTGCAGAGAACAGCAGGGATCCCGTCAGATCCCCAAGGCCTTTCGATGACACACTGGATGTTGCTACCATACGCTACCAAGAAGCTGGGACGTCTTCTTCTTCTTCTCCTCCTTCTCCTTCTTCTTCTTCTTCTATAGAGATTTTCTGGCAGTTTACAAACTAGGTGCATTACCGCCATCAACTGGACGGAGATGTAATTCAGAAATTCACTTTTATATCTTCCAAACCTTAATATAATTATATCATATATATACACTGATACTCTCTCTCTCACACACACAAAATCCTGTCTAATTTTGTGTCTTTTAAATATTTAATAAGTGCTTGTATTATATCTTGAGAATGATGCTTCCCTAAAAAATTTGTCAATAGTTGCTGAAATCCCCATTACCCGTTCCATTTGTTTCTCCATCCATCCATCCATCCATCCATCCATCCATCCATCCATCCATCCATCCATCCATCCATCCATCCATCCATCCATCCATCCATCCATTTTCTTTACACCCTTGTCCCTTAGTGGGGTCGGAAGGGTTGCTGGTTCCTCTCCAGGTGACGTTCCGGGCGAGAGGCGGTGTCACCCTGGACAGGTCGCCAGTCTGTCGCAGGGCAACATTTGTTTTCCCTCTCTTATGTATTTCTTACAATTAATTAACACATGTGAGTCCCAATAAAGTTACCCTAAAAAAATACAATCGCATAACTTCCGGGTGACAGACTCTGCCTTATGGTCAGACAGACCAAAATGGATTTCTTCTTTGATGACCTTCCATCCAGCTCCCTATCCACTCCTAAAAAAGGACATGAAGACTCGCTGATGGTGGAAGATACAGATTGTGATTTGTCAAGAAACAAGTCAAGTGTGAGCATGACTGAGATTCAAGAGAACTGTAGCAGCTTGTACATTGATGACATCAGGAAAAGAGCTCAAGAAATGGTGGAAAAAAATAAACCATGAGCAAACCAGAGACCAGGAAATGATGGGCAGCTAACAGAGAAGGTGACAGAGATGTGTCAGCTGATAAAAGAGGAAATGTTCGCCATCTATGAGCTTAACAGCATTGAAATCCAGGTGAAGCTGCAGGAGCTGTCAGAGGTGCTGGAAAACTGCTCTAAGCTGGAGCACGAGCTCCTGGAGGCCAGTCAGGCCTTGGCATGCCTCAAGGTTGGTCTTGACATTAATCAGAGAGCAGAGCCATAACAAATTAATTTTATCCTCAACTGGGGTTATTAAACTGAAGACATGTTGAATGGTTAAAAAAACAAACAAAAAGACCACGTTCTACTCCTTCTGTTTCCCCACAATAAGAACAATCACCTGAGCTGACGCCTTGCAAACGTAGAACGTGGAGAGCGTTCTTCTCAGAGCGAGGCGAATTGTGAAATGTCAAGTTTGGCCCCGTATTCATGTCTATGGGCCCAAGCATAGACCCCAACCGCTTCTTTTTGTTCTTTTGATTTTAACAGCAGCTTGCATCTATTATTGTTGTACTACTGCCATCTGCTGGACCCAATACTTATTCCTCAAATTCTCCTAATGAGCCTGGTATTTTTTTTTAAAAAACGAAAACCCTTCTTTTTTCTTTCAATACTATTTAACTGATCAACAACATTCTCAAATTTCAATTTCCTATTAAAACCTAATTCCTTTTTTAATAATCTTCTTTGATTCACATATTTCCTGCAGCTAATATTGTTTCTACAATATCACACCAACTACATAAACCAGTAAGATGTTCCCCATCTTAAAAAGAGTTTCATTTAAAATAAACTGTGACCGGTTCTTATTCTATTTATAATTATCTCCTCCTTCCTGTTTATTCCTCTGATCCTTACTACATTAACAGTATTTTGTATCCCACATAAATATCTTCCATTTATTTCATTATCCCACCTAATTTTCCATATCTTGCTTTCTCTCCAAACTATACTTTTGCCTTCAGATTTAGATAACTTTATTGGCATATCAATATCTTCTTAGCCAACCTATCTGCTCTTTCATTGCCCATAATACCTACATGAGCAGGAGTCCAAAAGTAATATTGCATTTTTATTTTGTTCACATATTCTGTGATGAACAGCCATAACCTCATATATCTTGATGATTATTTGTACGTCCCTTTTCAATACTCAACAATGCAGATAATGAATCACTACAAAATATTATTTTACTTATATTAGTATCCTCCAGGTTGGTGGAATACATACAAAACAAATTTACAGCCATTATACGTCATACAAAAAAAAAAAATCTGAATACTACATAAAGTGGAATATTGGGAACACAAACCTGTTATTTTTTAAATCAAATATACTGAAATTCTGGGACCTTGTAACATTTAAAACTGTACATGTTTAAGGTAAGAAATCATCAACTTCCACCCAATATACAAAAAATGTTTTGTGACAAGGACATTTTAAAAAACAATGTATTAAGAACAAGAAGAGTTTTTGTTTATTGGTGTGTGGAGTAGATGTATGAAATGGATTGAATGAGTTTAAAAAAAGTACAAATACAAACCAGCTTAAAAGACTGTTTAAAAAGGAGCTTATTGGGAAATATGATCTATAAGACGAATGTTTTAAAGTCCATAAATGTTACTGATGATATAAAAAGTGTTTAAATAATTGTCCATCTAAAGATGTGAGATTTAAATATCATGTAAGGTGGAAATTCGTTGTTTTGGTGTTTCGACATTTAACTGATTATAAGTTGATGAGTATGAAAAGGGCAGGACATTATAAGATATTGTATCTTCTACCTGCTCCTTTTCGAACAGATAATATAAAATTGCATGTCACTTGGGCATGATAATGTTTTAACTTTTATTCTTTCTTGATTTTACTTTTGTCTGTTAAAAATAAATTAATAAGAAACACAGCAACAACAGTTTCCTTATTAATCTGAGTTTTCCTAACATCATCTTCTAAACATAAAATAGGATCCATTGCTCCTCTCCCTCTATGAAAGCCTCTCTGATAAGGAGCAATTATATTTCATGACTCCAAATATTGCATTAATCTGTCATTCACTATCCTTTCCATCAGTTTACATATATGAGATGTAAACTCATTTCTTTATTGGGATAACAATGGGGCTTCTTTCCATTTCCAAATCTTATTATACAAGATTAATGATGGAAATGGAATTCACATTAATTCCATTTCCATCATTGATCTTATTTAACACTTCATCATTTACATGTCTTAACATAATATAACTTCATCTTTACCTGGAGCACAATTCCTAGTTCTACCCAAAGCTCTTTTCATTCTCCAATAGAGAAGGGATAATTCATCCATTATTCAAACATGTAAGATTATCTAAAAAATCTAAAAAAAATTCTGTATAATTGTTTGCCCTTTCATCACTTTACATCCCCAAAAAACAACACTATGCTCTCCTCCACAACTATAACACTTTGGTTTTACTCCAACTCCACATTTTCCATATTCATGATCTTCTGAACATTGGGCACATCTCCTTTTTCCTTTACACATTTTTGCAAATTCCTGACAGTTGAAACATTTCACTGGTTTATGATGTTCAGATTTAACCTTCTGACCCACATGCAGAATCAGAGTCCAAATAAGGAATTGGTTTTATTTTCAGCAATTGACAGATCTTGATCTTTCTGGAGGATAGAAAGGGTCATGTGATCAGTGGCGTCTGGAATGAGAGTGGAGTTAATGGTGGCCTGAAATGAGTTGATCAGGGATGAAATAAGAGAGCTTACTTTAGAACGATTCATGAGGCATGGAGGAAAAGATGGCTAGGGTCCTGTGTGGAGAATGACGGATGGTGATTCCTTAGATGAGTGTGAGGAGGGTGGCCACACAGAGAGCCAGGGGTCTGATGGAGCAGGGTGCAGAAATGAGGAACAGGAGAGCAGGTAGGTAGGTAACTTGAAGGTAGGATACACAGGAGGAGAAACAGCAGAACTGATTGATCCTTCTTGGAAAATTCAATGAGACAAACCAGTAAGCATTAAACATGCAGCACTGAGTGAAGGCTCTGCTGCTCTTTTATTCCCAGCACTCTGATGAAGCCGATGAGCTCCACCTGTGTAGGTTGCCGAGGTTCTCCACCAAGATCTTTATTGGAAAAGATGCATCACTCGCATTCACACACACAGAGGAACCCTGACAGTTTAGGCTATCGGTGGGCAACTCCAGGCCTGGAGGGCCGGTTTCCTGCAACTTTTAGATGTGTCTCTACTTCAACACATCCGGATCAAATGATGGCTCATTAGAAGGCCTAAGAACATTGACATGCTGAAAAGGTTGTTACTATCACCAGGGTGGTAGTAACAGGACAAACAACCATGCACACCTAAGGAGAATTTAGAGAGACCATTAACCTAACAGGACTGTGAGAGGAAGCCAGAGCACCCAGACATGCACAGAGGGAGAACATGCAAACTCCATGCAGAAAGACCCCAGGCCAGGAATCGAACCCAGGACCTTTTAGCTGCAGGACAACAGTTCTACCAACTGCACCACTGTGCAGCCCTCTCAATATCTTAGTATGTTTAATTTTTCCAACATGAGCTTTAAGTGCTTTTGTTAACTTAAGTGACTCAATTTTCTTTACCCCTTCTCCTTCATCAAATCTTACTATAATATTCATATTTGGATTTTTGATTCTTCTGCTCTTTCCTCAATGCCTTCACAGTTCCTTCTGTATTTCCTCTTTCTCATTCACTTCTCATTCTTTCTTTCAGAAGCTCACTGCTTCTTACCACCTTTTCCCACTTTCTCTTCATTCTGACCACCCAGCTCTTCCTCTTCACTCCAATCCACACTATTCTAGTCGCTTCTTTCTAAATCCGTCGCTGTCATATTCTGACTTTAGTCGCTTTTATCATCAAAATTTCAGATGCAAACTTCTCTGTCTTAGATCAGTCGTTGCATGTAAGCTTGGCGTGAATGAATCCATGGTTCGGCATTGGAGAGACGGCAGTGGGAAGAACTCACTGAATGCCAAAAGACCAGAAAGACCTTCAGAAGACATAAAAGCAGGTGGCCTGAACTTGAAAATGTTCTGTGACACGGAGAGCAACACTGACTTATGCCCCTTTCCCACCATCTCAGCTCACCCCTGCTGAGTGTTTCCACCAGCTTTTTTTCGAGGCTGGCCCTGCTTTTTAGGTCCCTACTTCGGAGCAGGGCCAGCCAGTCGGTGGAAACGCGGTCACTCTGAAGTAGAGCCGAGTTGAGCTGGGCCGAGCCGGGCTGCTGAAGTAGAGCCGGTGGAAAAGGGGCAATAGAGACAGAAAAGGCATGTGACGAATCTGTTCTGAGGCTGTTCAACTCCGACACTGAAGATGACTTCAGTGGTTTCAATACGCAGGAGGAAGAAGAATAAATCAATCAATAAGTAAAAAAAAAAAAAAAACTTTGTGGGTGTGGCTTATAGTGATGGGGGCGCTATAGGTCAGAAAATATGGTAATTAGTCAATAATAACAACGCTATTGCTAGTGCAAGCCACAGGTAATCCATTTCTCATTTCAAACTCTTCTTATTAAAGTAAGTTAGAGAACTAAATATAATACAAATATTGGCTACCTTTGACAGAAAAAAAGAACTAAGTCTATGAAAGCAATGTAGCCAGTTTTGCTCATTTTGATTTCCAAGGCATAACGTGGCAGTTTATTATGATTCAGTCAAAGTAATGAAATAATGAACTGCAGTCTGATTTTTATTGTTAATGTATTTCACTCTATTGAGCAGTGAAAGTCAATAAAATGTGTAACATGTTTTTTGCCTTAAGTATTTACTGGATCAGATCATTAATAACAGGCAGGACTTTCTTAAAGAAATGTGTGGGTGGGACATCCAGACAGCAGGAACTGGAGCTTAA